CGAGTGCAATTTGTGGTCTTTGAAAAAATTTACAAGTGCATATTTATTCCAAATTGCACGAGAAAAATCATGTGATTATGTATTAATAATATACGTGAAAAAATACGAGGTAGCTCATCATAATTATGCAGAAGAAAAGCGCACTCATCGCGTGCAAAAATAATTTATTCAAACCCTGCAGGTGACATTGACCTTGACATTGACCAATCATTCTGACCAATCAGAATCTCTGGTTTGTTACTTTCTTTGCACTGAATTGACCCTCTTCTGCACTGAATTAACTCTCTTCTGGACTGAATTACCTGAAAACTGCATTTTATCTTAACCAATCAGAACTGAGTAATTTTTTTCATGTATATTATTAAGAATGTGATAAAATGGAAATATAGATATTTTGCTCTTGATGTTTCTGGTTACGTTAACTTTGGAAAAACGACCGCCAATGACGTGTTAGAAGTCCATAATTGTAACCGTGATAGCCCCTTCGGTCTTCTTGTACTTTACAGCTTACATGACAGCACCACTCACACATCACAGCAAAAATCAACTTTACTACTTATCTCAACAATCCAATTTCTGTGTAAGAATTAAAAACGCGTATGATATCCGCACTGTCTGGTTTTTGAAAAGACTAAACTCAGGAAAAAGGTTTGGTTTGAAAACGCCAATAATGCCAGAGGCTTTATGTTTTCCCTGACGTGACGCTGACGTAAATGGCCACGTGACTTTTGTCCCAATCCCTCTCCATAATAAGTCCAGTGTTCCCACAAACAAACCTTTAGCGAAGTGTTTTCTTGCCGCGAACCTGGATTGCCCATGTAAAATGTCTCGAAGTCAAATTCTGTTCCATTAGGCCCTAGGTTTTGTAAAAGCACATCAACATGTGAAGAAGTAAGATAACTGTCGGTTCGAGAATATTTAACTTGAATATTTGTGTTTGTCTGTAAGTCAGTACGGTGAGGGGGTGGACTGAGGAGTCATATGGGCCCCTTTTACTGTTCTCACCTCCCACCCTGGCCCTTGGGTCTTGTCTCCCTCCCTTTATTGCTAAAACACAGCAATACCAAACTTTGAATGTCTTCGAATTTTTGTTTCTGGTCTTTTTCTAGTCCTCTGCCGTTTTCCAAACTTCCCCGATCCCTCTCCTGCTTGTGGTCACCACTGTTTAACGCACTTCATCAGGGCGCAGGAGAGAACGTTTGCTTGCGCATCTGTCTCGTACTTATTTTCCACTGCATCACAGAAAGATACCGAGAAGTCGAACTCACAGCCGAGAACGTTTTCTGAAGAATATATTTTTTATCAACGCTTGAACACAACAATTGGAAAAATACTGTACTTATTTATTTAAGTCATATATGATAAATCTTACTTCCTTGTTCTTCGTTTTATAATTTCATTCCGCTTTATTCCATCCTAGTTAAACATTTTTTATCATTTTATTATGCAAAGTTCATATAGAACTATCATAGCGCTCTACCAATTGAGCTAACAAGCCAACTGAACGACCTGCTCCCAGGCCTGCTCCCAGTTGGCTTGTTAGCTCAATTGGTAGAGCGCTGCACTAGTATCGCAGAGGTCAGGGGTTCGAATCCCGTACAGGCCTGATTTTTTTCAGGTCTGATTTTCGCTATTACATAAATAGCGCTCTCTACTGCGAGGATCGTGCATTATACGTTTTATTTCAAGATATAAAATCTTTAATCAATAAACTAATACAGCATACAAAACATTATCGGAGGAAGTATATTATTGACCATGGGTGAGTCCGGCTTTCGACATATTGTTATTTCTATTGACAGCCATTATATTATACTGTTTCCCTGCGTAGTTGGTCTGCTGTAGACGTGTGTTCATACAACCTATGAGATTATCAATGCGATGACGAAATGTCTTCCTGGAGTGACAGTGGTCGGCACTCGCCTAAATTTAGAGAACTATGAGTATTGTTCAGGACTTGAATTTTCAGGCGTGGGAGCACTACTTAACATTTACGCCCATCCGAAAAGCCATCCAACTGATGTAAGTCATCACTCATACCTGTACATTTATGTCAGGCACGATGTAATTTGCCTCACTCGTTGCATAAAGAAACTAAATATGAACTGCAGGGGTCTATAAGAATGTTTAATTCTGCTGGTACAGCGTAATCCAACTCACAAACCTTCGTACTGAAGGGGGCGAATGTAAGTAGCTTTGAATCATAAAAGACAGGTGGCGGTAACTCTAGTTTTATTAGTCCGTATCACGCATCATACCCTCTCAGCCACTTTGTGATTTACTAAGAAAAAAGCCACCGCAGTGATGTAAGGTCCCTTGTCAATGTTATTCATACTGTGCTTAGCATAATGCCATGGTTCAACTTAAGCATTAAGCTGAGTAGGAATCTATCTTTACTACCTGCTAATTTGACATACACATGTAAAACGATATCGCGCCAATTGCAATATCACGCACTGTCCATTAGAGCCTCAGAACTAACGAGAGGCCAAAAGAGACATGAGAAACCAAGAGCTACTCTGTGATGAAGATGCTACGCTTGAGCACGTTATAAATAGGGCATGCTGTTGGCTTTGACGCGGAACGTTTCGAGTACCCACGTGGGAAGTTTGCTAAGAACAGGTTATGCATAGCGTGCGTATTTCTAGTTCTGGGATTTATGGATGCAGGCCGGGGAATTTGGAGAGCACCATAGAGATTAGAGAAGCATACTCATAGAGTTGTCTCTTGAGGGCTCCCCAAACTTTTCAAGTGAAGCCATACTGAACTGAACTCTTTTTAAACGGCACGGTTTAACTCCGAATCAATTTTTTTGATATAAGGCAAATTGAACTGAAATCTTATT